AGAGCTTCAGCTGGAGCTCCAGACTGAGCCTGCACATGAGGACCCACACAGGGGAGAGACCCTACGAGTGTGGGGAGTGTGGGAAGAGCTTCAGCTACAGATCCAGCCTGATAAGTCACCAGAGGATCCACACTGGGGAGAGACCCTACGAGTGTGGAGAGTGTGGGAAGAGCTTCAGGTACAGCTCTGATCTGATCAGGCACCAGAGGATCCACACTGGGGAGAGGCCCTACGAGTGTGGGGAGTGTGGGAAGAGCTTCAGCTGCAGCTCCCGACTGATGAGGCACCAGAGGATCCACACTGGGGCACGACCCTACGAGTGTGGGGAGTGTGGGAAGGGCTTCATGTGGAGCTCTGATCTGATCAATCACCAGAGAATCCACACTGGAGAGAGGCCCTACGAGTGTGGGGAGTGTGGGAAGAGCTTCAGGTACAGCTCTGGCCTCATCGAGCACCAGAGGAGCCACGCTGGGGAGATGCCCTACGAGTGTGGGGAGTGTGGGAAGAGCTTCAGGTACAGCTCCCAGCTGATCCGGCACCAGAGGATCCACACTGGGGCACGACCCTACGAGTGCGGGGAGTGTGGGAAGAGCTTCAGGTTTAGCTGGAACTTGGCCAGCCACCAGAGGACCCACACCGGGAAGAAGCCCTACAAGTGTGGGGAGTGTGGGAAGAGATTCAGTGTGAGCTCCAACCTGATGCTGCACAAGAGGACCCACACTGGGGAGAGGCCCTATGAGTGTGGGGAGTGTGGGAAGTGCTTCATTCAGAGCTCCATCCTGATCCTGCACAAGAGGACCCACACCGGGGAGAGGCCCTACGAGTGTTCCAAGTGTGGGAAGAGGTTTCAGAGCAGCTCCCATCTCCTCCGGCACTATCACACTCACACAGAGGAGAGGCCCTTCCGCTGCCCCGACTGTGGGAAGGGATTCAGGCGGAACTGCCACCTCGTCAGGCACCGGAGCCTCCACAATGGGGAGAAGCCCTACGAGTGTGATCAATGCAGGAAGAGGTTTCAGAGCAGCTCCTGTCTCCTCCTGCACTATCGGATTCACACAGAGGAGAGGCCCTTCCGCTGCCCCGACTGTGGGAAGGGATTCAGGTACAACTCCTCCCTTGTCATCCACCGGCGCACCCACACTGGGGAACGGCCATACAAGTGTGGGGAGTGTGGGAAGAGCTTCACCTGCAGATCTGCTTTGACCAGACACCAACGGAGTCACCGCTAAGGGAAGCCCTGCGAGTGCCCCGAGTGCGGGAAGAGCTTCGTGCGCTGCTCCAGCTCCATCCCCCACTGCAGGAGCCACGCTGGGCACAGCCCTGGTGAGCCACATTGCCTGTGATCCGTGCTGGGAGCACACCTGGCTGCTCCTCTTTTTGGTTTGGCCTTAATTTTTTTATACTGTGTCGCTTAAAAACTGCCATAACTGGCTTAAATGAAAGAAATTGATTGAGCTTATATGAAGTTGCACCATTTCTTAGGTTTTTGAGGAAGAATGCTAATAACTGCTCCCTTGACCCAAACCCTGGGATACCCTATAAAAACCCCTGAGCCCTGCCTTTGCTTTGTCTTTTGGGGGTAAGAAATGGATTCTGGAGCTTTCTGAAACCAAGTCGTACCTCGTTTGTTCCAGGCACCGGCAGCTGCAGCCTCCCTGGGCACTGTGAGCTCTGGAGAATGGGAGCAGCCATTGAGGGCGTGTCCTGGATTGCAAGCTGAGTGTGTGTTCTGTGTTCTGTTTGCCATCTGTCATCGGTGGGGCACAAATCTCCTTTTCCTTGGGCAGTTTATCTCTTCCACAGCCAATCCTCTCTCCAGGAGACATCTTCTGTCTGTGAGCCATTGATTATTAATTATCTGGTGTTAACGGGTGTTTGAGTGTCACTGCCTGGCTGATAAAATGACTTCATCCCATTGGGAGATGCTCCACCCAGTGGGAATAACCAAGCATTCCTTGGCGGGTGGAATCTGAGCAGATTTTCCTTACTGGATTTCCACTGGAGCAGGCTTTTCCTACTGGATTCCCATTGGAGCAGCCCTTTTCCCACTGGATTCCCAGAGGATCAGCCCTTTTACCACTGGATTCCCATTGGAGCAGCCCTTTTCCCACTGGATTCCCAGAGGATCAGCCCTTTTACCACTGGATTCCCATTGGATCAGCTTTTTTGTGCTGGATTCCCATTGGATCAGCCTTTTTTACTGGATTCCCACAGGATCAGCCTTTTGGTACTGGATTCCCACAGGATCAGCCTTTTGGTACTGGATTCCCATTGGATCAGCCCTTTTCCCACTGGATCCCCACAGGATCAGCCCTTTTCCCACTGGATCACCACAGTCTCAGCCTTTTCTACTGAATTTACATTGGAGCAGCCTTTTCCCACTGAATTCCCATTGGATCAGCCCTTTTCCCACTGGATCCCCACAGGATCAGCCCTTTTCCCACTGGATCACCACAGTCTCAGCCTTTTCATATTGGACTGCCAAAGGATCATCCCTTTTCCCATTGGATTCCCAGAGGATCAGCTCTTTTCCCACTGGATTCCCATTGGATCAGCCCCTTTTCCCACTGGATTCCCATAGGATCAGCCTTTTCCCACTGGATTCCCATTGGATCAGCCCTTTTCTACTGGATTCCTATTGGATCAAAATTTCCCACTGGATTCCCATTGGATCAGCCTTTTTCTACTGGATTCCTATTGGATCAGCCTTTTGGTACTGGATCCCCACAGGATCAGCCTTTTGGTACTGGTTTCCCATTGGATCAGCCTTTTGGTACTAGATTCCCACAGGATCAGCCTTTTCGCACTGGATTCCCATTGGATCAGCCCTTTTCTACTGGATCCCAACAGGAGCAGCCTTTTCCCACTGGATTCCCAGAAGATCAAGATTTTCCACTGGATTCCCAGAGGACTCTGGGTTGTTTTTTTTTTTTTCTTTTTTTTTGTACTACTGCATTTGTATTTTTAACTTTTCCTAATAAGCAGCAGATATTCCTGCTCCCATACCTTTGCCTGAGAGCCCCTTAATTTCCAAAATTATAATAATAATAAATAATCGTGAGGGGTTTTGCATTTTCCCTTCCATGAAGACACCCCCAAGGAGGGGCCATGTAAAACACTTCCAGGAATATGTAAATTAGTTTATGCATTTGCATAAGGGTCTACGAATATGCAACAGGCTGATGTAAATAAAATGCATTTTAATTTAAAATGTAAAATGCATTTTGATTTATCTCCTCAAAGCGCTCTTGGTGGCTGTAACAACCTTTGCTCCGCTGTCCTTGTCTCCTCTGACATCAGCCTGTTGAATATTCATAGACTCTTTTGCATATCCAAAAGCTAGTTTACATATTCCAGGAATGAAGTTGGCTTCATCCTTTTTGGGGGGTCCCATCCCCCTCCCAGCTCAATTTTGGGTTCCCCACTCAATTTTGGGGGTCCCATTCCCCTCCCAGCTCAATTTTGAGGGTCCCATCCCCCCCAGCTCAATTTTGGGGGTCCCATCCCCCTTCCAGCTCAGTTTTGGGGGTCCCATCCCCCTTGCTACTGGATTTTGGGGTCCCATCCCCCCCTCAGCTGAATTTTGGGGTGCCGTCCCCCTCCCAGCTCAATTTTGGGATCCCATCCCCCTCCCAGCTCAATTTTGGGGTCCCATCCCCCTCCCAGCTCAATTTTGGGGGTCCCGACCCCCCTTTGGTTTAATTTGGGGTCCCCACCCCGCGGCCGGGGGCGCTCCCAGCACCACCAGTGCCACCAGTGCGGCCCCAGCTGCCCCCGCACGCCCCCTCCCCATCCCCAGGGTCACCTCCCCCCTCCCCAAATTCCCCCGGCAACTGAGGAGTCATCAGCGAGAAGCGCTCTGATTGGCTGGAAATTGCCCCTCGCTGTCTCTGATTGGTTAGCGCTGTCTGAACCTCCGGGTTCTGCCCGGCAACTGATGAGTCAGAGCCGGGCGCTGATTGGCTGAAAATCGCCGAACTTCTCTGAGTTTCTGCCCAGCAACTGTGTCGTCATCAGCGTCGCGCGCTCTGATTGGCCAGGATCTGCTTTGGGGTGGGGACGGGAGGAACTGGTTATTTGGGGTGTGTTTGCGTTTATTTAGGGACTATTTGGGGTTTATTTGGGGTTATTTAAGAATTATTTGGGGTTTAATTTGGTTTATTTGGGATTAATTTGGGGTTTTGAGGGATTTATTTGGGGTTGTTTTGGTTTAATTTGGGTTTATTTGGATTTGTTTGGGGTTATTAGGGATTTTTAGGTATTGTTTGGGTTTTTTGGGGGTTATTTAGGGTTTATTTGGAGTTATTTGGGGATATTTGGCTTATTTGGGGTCATTTGGGTCAAAATATCCGTGAGTGTTCCCCTTCCAAAAAACGTTAATTTTTCCCAAAAAATTCCGTGAATTTTCCCTCAAAAAACCGGGAATGTTCCATTAAAAATCCCGGGCTTTTCCCAGCCAATAGTGGCACGCCCCGCCCCAAACCAACCAATCACGGCGCGCCTCCCCTCAGCAACGCCCGCCTCCTTTTCCTCGATCCAACCAATCACGGCGCGCCTCCCCTCAGCAATGCCCTCCTCCCTTTCCTGGAACTAACCAATCACCGCGCAGCTCCCCTCAGGAATGCCCGCCTTTTTTTTTTAACTCGATCCAACCAATCACCGCACGCCTCCCCTCAGCAATGCCCGCCTCCCTTTCCCCTCACCAGCCAATCACTGTGCTTCGCACCTCAGCAACTCCCGCCTCTCCCTTTCCCAAGCCAACCAATCACCGCACGTCTCGCCTCAGCAACTCCCTCCTCTCTCTTTCCAAAATCAACCAATCACCGCGAGTCCTGCCTCAGCAACTCCCGCCTCTCCCCTTCCCCAACCAACCAATCACCGCACGTCTCCCCTCAGCAACTCCCGCCTCCCTTGCCCCTCTCCTGTCAATCACCACTACCCGTACCAAACCAACCAATCACCGCTCGATTCACCTCAGCAACTCCCGCCTTCTTGCCCTTCTCCTGTCAATCACCGCTCCTCGAACCAATCACCGCTCGATTCACCTCAGCAACTCCCGCCTTCCCCTCGCCGCTCCAGCCAATCAGAAGCGAGCCCGAAGCGGCGCCCCCTGACCCCGGGGCCGGGCATGGCGCGGCCGCCCCCTCCCCCCCCGCCGCC